GCCTCTGGCCTTGAGGACCCTTGTTTCAGCGATTTCCCCACCCACAGGGGATGACAGTCTCCCAGAGTCCAGGGCTCCCGTTCAGGCTTTCCTGCATTCTCAGGCCCTCCCTGCCCTCAGCACACCCGTCGTCGGACAAGACCGGGCTGGAGTAGGGAGACCTGGGTTGTAATCCTGTGTTAGAAAAAGCGCATCCTCTTTGGCCAGTGTGAGGCCTGCTAGGAAGAGCATGAGGTTTCAGAATTTAAAAATGAGAGAAAATGACGTTCTCTTCAAATATAGACTTGAGTGTGCCGCTTGACCCCAATGAGCCTCAGTTTCCACATCTATAAAAATGGCGACGGTAATTATACTGGCCTCACAGGGTTTAATGAGATCTCTGATGCAAAAACGGGAGATTTTTATTACTCACCTCGGGGGCCTATTTATCTCATGGGAAAATGGAGTACAACTAGTAGCTTTGTGTCCTGACAGTTCAGAGAGAGTGATTTGGCAAAGGGGTTGTTGGGAATGAGGGTGGCAATTAGCTGAGAGGGAGGACTCACTGGCTTTATTTTGTTTTTACTTGGTTTACCTGTAAATTAGGGCTACAAGTCTCCTGTGGTCGCTGGGGCTAGAGCTTGACTCTGGAGAGAGGAAGGAAGAATGGCAGCCTGGTGAAGAGGCAGAGGTGGGTTAAGTGCTTTTCTGTTCCTAACTTCTCTTCTGCATGTGGGTGGGAACTGAAGAAGGGCAGAAAGTGAAGGGTAGAGAACCAGTGACCGTGTGAGGTTTGGTGGTGCCTGTTTCTATGATTCCTCTTGATTCAGCGAGTCAAATGTTGGATAGATTCACAAACTGCCTCTTTGGGGTTTTCCGAAGCTTGCCTTTGAACTGAATTTTGATGAGCAAACCGTGTGCTGTTGGTGGCCCCTCCCTTCCTCTTGGCTTCCTGGTGATGGAGTAAGCAGCAGGCGCCCTCTTGTGCTGAGGATAGGTACTGTTGCTATTGGCCAATCTTGCTTCCTTTATGGAGAAATTTTATTTTTCTACTAGAGGCCCACTGCACGAAATGTGTGCACCGGAGGGAGGGTCCCCTCAGTCCGGGAACCCTCAGGGGATGTCTGACTGATGGGGAGCAGGCCTGAGCCGGCAGTTGGATGTCCTTACTGTTGCAGTGGAGGCAGGAGAGGCTCGCTTGCCAGTCGTGAGCTGGGCTCAGGGCTTCTGGCTGAGCGGTGCTCCCCCTGTGGGAGCACACTGACCACCAGGGTGCAGCTCCTGCATTGAGCCTCTTCCCCCTGGTGGTTACTGAGCATCATAGCAGTCAGTCGTTCTGCTGTTCGGTCGATTTATTATATAGGACTAGAGACCTGGTGCACAGATTCATTCACTGGTGGTGTCCCTCGGCCTGGCCTGCGCCCTCTCACAATCTGGAACCCCTCAGGGGATGTCAGACTGCCATTTTTGGCCTGATCCCCACAGGCCAGGCCGAAGGACCCCACCAGTGGACGAATCTGTGCACCGGGCTTCTTGTATGCATATGAGATCTTTGGTTAATCTCTTCCTGCTCTCTCCCCTACCCCCTTTCCTCTGAGATTCATCAGTCTGTTCCATGTTTCCATGCCTATGCATTGAGTGTATGCCCCCTTGTGGTCAGTGTGCATCATAGCTATTGGTCCAATGGTCACTTAGGCTTTTAGATATATAGATGGCTTCTTGTGACTTTGTAGTCTTGCTCTTAACAGGAGTATGGTGAGAGGAATACTTTGAGCAGTGATTTTATACCCAGAGCCAATGAACTAGTAATGACACATCCTGTTCTTACCACTTACACTCAATCAGAACACAGGCTTAAAATAGTCTGTTTGTATGCTAGGCCCCGGGGATATAGTTGTGAACCCTTAAGGAAGACAAAGCCCCTGCCCTCCCAAGCAACTTACTTAAGCAATAGCACTAAGACCACATGTCAGAGTACAATGAGAGCACATAGCTTAGTGAAGGTCAGACAAGAATTTCAGACAAGTGATACCTAAAGGCTTGGTAGGTATTAGCCAGATCAGAGAAGAAAGAAAAATATTCCAGCCCTCCCTGTTAATTTCTCAATTTTAATTTTTTTTTTCTTTAAGGATAGAACCCTGACATATATCAGGAACTCAATGGATGTTTGTGGGGTGGAACTGGGGCAAGAACACCAAATCAGGGAGTTGTATCTGATGTTCTTGCCCTTCTTTCTGATTTCCCAGACTGGTTTTGTAAGAGCCATTGCTACTTCTTTTAGCCCAAGAGACTTTGTGGTGTGTTGTTTTTTGTTTTTTTTTAATAATAAAAAGCCTTAAAGTGCATTCCTTGCCTCAAAATGGCTTTGCAGTTGTTTATATGTTACTGCCATTCCAACAAAGAAATGCGAAATACATTTTCTCTGTCTCTAGTAGTCAACTCTGTCTTCCCCCTAAGTTTGTTTTAGCAATGTAAGCTGGTTTAAGTCCTGCCGAGTGGTGGTTTTCTTTTCCTTCTCCACTTAATTTAACAGACCAGCTGAACACACATTAGAGAGCTAAGCTGAAGCGTGTAGTCATTATGGTCTTTCCAGTTCAGCTCTATGCCCCATTTTTGGGACTCTGGTTTGGGACCTAGTTTATTATTCTGGGCAAGAGGAAAAGGGCACACACCAAATAACACCAACCACAATATAGATGTAGTAGAGCACTTCTTCACACTTTAGTCCATTTCACCGTCATGACAGTTCTGTGAGATGGGCAAAATAATCTGATCTCATTGTATACATAAAGAACTGAGGTTCAGAAGGACTAAATGAGAACTTGTGAGTGACAGAGCCGGGGCC